GGTTGAAAAAATGCCTATCCCAAAACTCCAAGACTCCCACACCACATGCCTTCCAGTAAACGCTAAATTTAATGTAAACTGTTATTACAGATATCATTGAGGTTTTCTGTTGCTTGTCATCTCCCAGGATCAGAAACCAATTTTTCTTACAGATCTTTGTTGTGTGCTTAGAGGACAATTGCAACACCCCAGATGTGGCTTCTGGGAAATCTCTTGCCACTGCTGGAGTTCAGAGTGTGAGGGCAGATGGTCACCTTGGCTGTGAGATGCTTCTGAACCCTGCATTTGCTACTCTGGTTTAAAAGTGGGTTTGCTGCTCTGGATGCAGGGAATGCCTGAGAAACTTCGAGTTTCATAAATGGGATCTGCTATGAAGGTTAAATAAGGTTTGAATGAAAGCAAACTAAACCCTGAAGTTGGAGACGAGGCTGATGCATACATCTTCTGGACTTCTATTTGCATGTTTTCCCCATTGAGGGCTGTAAGGGAACAAGGCAGAGCTGTAGCATTTTGCCAAGTTTTTTACAGTTAATAGCAGGGCAGAGCATTACTTCCATTGAGTATCCAGATGGTAACACAGTATATTGTGGATGACACTGAGGAAATTGCCATCTTCCTCTAGAAATTGCTGGTGTCAAGTTTATAGAAAAAATGTCATCTATTTCTGCAGTATGAAAAAGAAGGAAGAGTGATAGAAAATAGCACTGTACCTAGAGCTGTGTGGGAATGGCTCAGACGCCAGCCCAGCCATTGTGCTTAGGAACACACAGTTGTTACCTTTTCTGGTAGTGATCTGTCAGTGTGTGACCATCTTGTACCTCACAGCACAAGTAACTTGTAGGTTTTGTTACATTAATTTCACAAGTGAGTGAACTGGTGAGGCATAGAAGCATTAAGAGCACACATAAAGCTCATAGCTTTCACACTGTAAGTAGACTTGTTAGGCACATGGCCACTCTAGGAATGAGTGTGTGACTTCTTGCTGATTTTGGGCTAGCTCTTTAATTCCAATGGGCTCACAAGGTTCTCTGAAAATTGTTTTTGACTTGCACAGAACTTGGAGGAGCAGGTGTTGATGTTTGTTTCAGGAGAGGCACTGCCACTAACTGTAGGAAGCTCAGTGTGGTGTGTGTTTTGCAGTGGGACTGAAAGTCAGTATGTACATCTCAGCTTGGGATGTCTTTAAATGCAAGGTCAGAGCAAGGGCACCAACAACCATTTTATTGTGTCTTCCTTTATGGCGTCAAACCCAGCTCTTGATCTCTAATTTTACTTTAAATAATACATGTGAGTGAAAAATATTGATTGTCTTTGCTGGCATTTGCCAGTCGCAGTGTCTGGAAGGTCTAAATCACAACTAAGTCCATATTTGCATGGCAAAGCTCTTCCTCCTTTTTCTCCCTAGTGTTAAGTTCCCAAATATTACTTCCACTAAAGGTCGACCTGCAGGAAGAAAAAACCCAACTTGTCTGTCCTTCCTGTTTTTCTTTTTTTTCCCCCAGATTTTCAGATGATTACTCCAAAAATGCACATGCCTAGGTACTCTCAGAGTGATACTGTTAGCAGACAGGTATCAAAGAGGCTCAGCTTCCCACAGGAGCTAGCCCTTTACCAGCTGTCTTGTGTCTTTAGTCTCACTAACTCACTAAGTGGGAAAAGAAAGACACATGCAGCATCAGACCATGGATTATGCCCTCAATGAAGGGTTAGGCATATATTTTCCATGGTAGCCTGCAGAGTCATCTGGGTCTCTAAGGAGGTTTCGTGTTGTCTTCATAATGGATTGTGTCTTTGTTCAGTTTTCTGACTGTCCTCAAATTTTTATTTGGAGAAAGGGTTCACATTATATGATCCCTTAAGCTATGTTGTGAAGAATTCCTGCCCCATGGGATGCCTCAAGCCTCAATGTTTGCGTTCTTTGGTGACGGAGGTTGCTGCCACAAAAGGCTCTCTAGGAGACAGGGACCTTGAGAAAAAAAAAATCTGGCATCAACAACTATGTTGTGACCTTTTCATCTTTGGAGTGCCTGGCTGTTGCTCTGCTTTATTGGTCTGAATGTTTTCCAAAGGGGCAATATGGAAGGTGGCAGCAACAGCATGAGGATTATTCTTAAAAGTTACAGCCTTGTTTAGGATTGGTGCAAAGAAGGTGTAGAGGAACACATGAGAGGCAATTGCTGAAAGCATCAGAGCATTGTGAGTGAAATTTCAGGGAAAATTCTCTGAAGTTTGGGAAAAAACTGATCTGAAAGGAAGAATGAAATAAATATCAAAAAAGAAATAGGTAGTAAGCTTAACTCTAAAAAATAAGTTACTTCAAATTAAGCAAGTTTTGCCATGATCAGTGGCTTTACAGGATAATTTGCAACAGATACAATTTTGAGACAAAAACTAAAAGCTCCAATTTTCAATTTTGTTGTTCTTGTTTTTAGATAGAAAGGTAGTTTCTGCAGGCTGCAGCTTGAGAGAGATGACTTATGGCATCAGTAAGTAAGTAGCATATGTTTTTCAGGTGGTTATTCCCCAGTGTCTTCCTATTCCTCCTCTTCATGTCTATAGAAGTCTCAGGATTTCTTCCAGGCCTTTTTAAAATTAAATTGTTTTTCAGAACCATGGGCTAACAGATGGAGGAGAGATGTTGTCATCGACTGGACAAAATAAACATAGTTTCAAAGAGTTTTCAGCAGTAACTATGCAGAATTGTGCAATTCAGTCAACTTTGGGGGAATCGTGTAGATCTGTGTGTGTACCTGAACAGTCTTCCCGTGCTTGGTTGCTTCAGTTCATCTTGGTGATTTTGCACAGAGCTTCACCTACATGAAGAATATGGTGTTTTGTTGCAAATAAGATATTCTGTTTGCACCTGTGGACACCTGCAGAAAAACTGGTCAGTGCCTCTGCTCTTCTGGCTCACTGATGGGAGCCATAGGGTGTCAGTACCTCTGGTTAGGGCAAGTTGAGTGATGTGCATGTGGGACAGGAGGCAGCTGGACAGGCTTTAGGTGGGCTTATTCCCAGGATCAAGTAACTTCTGAGGAGGTTTTGTAGGGTTTCATAGGCACAGAAATTATTTCCTCTTGTACTGAACCAATTATCATTGACCCTACAATGCTGGGCACATCCTCACCACTCTGTGGACGTCCTTCACTAAAGGGTATTGGTAAAACCTGACACATTTTCTTTAATTTTTCAAAAACCAAATTTCCAGAGCTGAATGGGGAGAAAGTATCACATGGAGCTGAGAAAATTGTGAAAAAAAATTCCCCTAAGTCAACTAGAAGATCCAGAGACTCGGTCTGGGTTATGCTTTAGCCTATGAGTTGATATGCTCTTGTTGCCTGCTCAGTAATTTGTCGGGAACAGGGAAGAAGAATTCAGACTTGGCAAGCTGGTGCTGCAGACAGATTTTGTCGGATGAAATCCCAGTAGACGTTAGTCCAACATCCACAGGTCCTGAGCCATCACATGGGAATGCATAAGGAGATAAAACCAACATCTTAAAGGGTAGATCCTCTATTTTAAGGTGCAGAGAAGGGAATCTGGATAATGTAATTTGTGTAGTTGTTCAGAGAAATTATGGAAAATTCTGGTTCCACACACAGACATAATTCTGTCTTTTCTTGAATTCTTCACTGTGTCTAAAGTTGCTTAACTCCTCTCTCTTGCCTTTTCCTACATGTGAAAAGAAGTTAATCCTATCTGCCTTTACCTCAGAGGGATTGTGAGGGCAGAGTTTGGAAAAGAATTTGCTGCCTATGCAAAGAATCCACAAGTGACTGCAGGGGAAAGAAAAAAATACCCAGATCTATCGTTGGGAAACTCCAGCACCAGTCTACTGCTTTCTGGAAGTGGAGTGTTCTGTTACATAAACATCCTTGAAGCTTTGCAGAAGGGGTGACATTCACGTGTGGGGCCTGACTAATTGAGCTTTGTGTGTGAAGAACAGGGATGGAGAGGATAAGGAAATGAAATCCCTAAGGTGCAAGCTGGGCCTCCTTCTTCCCATGGCCTGTACTGTTGCTTACGTGTTGAAAAAGGGTCTCAGAGCCTCCTGTGCCACTGAGCTGATGACTGGGAACTCTGTGGGCCCTGCGACCCAGACTGCATCCTAACTCTGCCCTCCCCTGTGGTCTGGGAGGTGTCCTGTCAGCCCAGCAGCCTCCAGCAGTCACTCAGAGAGCATCCCTCTGCCAGGAAATTGCTAACACCCCTACATACTAAAATCTGCATTAACTCAGTGGCCCTGGTCTATTTAGGCATGCAGACAGCATGTAACTCTTGGCTGCTTCTACAAACACTGGGAGAAGGGGGCTGCAAACTTCAGAAGCTTCAAGGTGCTCCCTGGAGGAGTCTGCACCCTTCCACTGGTTATGTGGGGAACATAGTTGCTGCTTTGATAGCCAAAGTGAGGTGGCACCAGCATCCCTCCAGCCAAAACTCACTTAAGGCCCAGGGCCCAGCTGTCCCCAGCCCCACACCTTGTGGCAAAGTGGAGCTGCAGCAGGAGTTGAAAGTCACCACTTTGTTTTGTACACACTTTGCAAAACTTTGTCACTACCTGTTTCCTTCTCCATTGCTTCAGGGAAAACTATGTATAACAGGCATAACTTGGTAGTGTCTACTACAAAATTCATATGTGTATTTTTGTGTATGTTATGACAAAGATAGAATAATGGTCTGCAGGTTTTCTGTTCTACATAGCAGCTCTCAGGGTACCAGGTCAGATTTAGCAGCTGGGATGTGAAAGGAACAGATTCACAAGTTGAAAGAGCCAGTGCTGAAATGGTTAGGAAAGAGTAAAATCTGAATTCCCAACTCTTTTTCTTTTCACAGCTGTTAAGAGTTCAGTGGGTTGAACTGCAATCCTTCAAGTTCATCTGTTGACTCCAACACAAAACTATTATAAACTGTGCCTCTAAAACACGTGATGAAACATTTCTTGAGAGCTATTTATTCCAACTGCAGCAGAGGAAAGTTTTCAGAACACCCGGCATTTGGTGGAGGAAAGGTCTCTTGAGCTTTGCAAAAGGAGGAATTATTTGCATACCGACGTAAGTTGCTTTTTGATTATTTTTTTTCCTGCATCATTGAACTAACTAATACTTCTAACTTTCCCCTACCATGGAAACATGATCAAATAGCACAAAACTATGTTTAAATACCTAGCAGAGTATTTCTAGATAGTTTTCTTCCCCTAATTATGTGGATTGGGGTTTTTATAATTCTGCATAGAACTCAACACAATATAATACGATGTGTTTTCTTTCCTTTGATGTTTTCTGTGTCTGAGTAAGAGTTCATTCACTCAAATTAGTAATGCAAGGGTATGACAGACTGTGAACTTCATTCAGGTGCTGGGTTTGCAAGATTGCAAATTACAAGTAGCAAGGAAGAATATGGGGCAATCTTTTTTTCTGGATGTTTCTTTTATGTATTTGCTCTGAAGTTTGATCTTATATATCCATATGCATTCTTCTCCAGGCTTTAGCTGTGGTCAAATACTTTCCATGCTGAAGATGGACCATGCAAATGTGACCCAAGCCATGCTTGATGCTGAGTCCCGGAGCACAGAGAAGAACAACAGCAACGAGTATTTTTACATTCTGATCGTCATGTCTTTCTATGGGATCTTCCTGATAGGGATAATGTTTGGCTACATGAAATCCAAAAGAAAAGAGAAGCCATCCAATTTGCTTCTGCTCTACAAAGATGAGGAGAGAGAATGGGGGGAAGCTGTAAAGCCTCTACCAACCATATCGGGGCTGAAATCTGTGCAGATCCCCATGATGCTGAACATGCTGCAGGAGAGCATGGTGCCATCCCTGTCCTGTGCCATCTGCTCAATGGAAGGCAGCAGTGTGAGCTCCGAGTCCTCCTCCCCAGATGTGCACTTCACCATCCAGGAGGAAGTGCTGGATACTGAACTAGGGGAAGTGTCAGAAACTCTCCTCAATGAGAGCAGCGAGGGGTCTGCGGAAAACATCCATAAGAACTCCTAGCACTTGCAGGGCTCCCTTGATCAGCTGCCAAAGTGTGAGTGGAGCTCCCACTAAGAACTCATGGTTCTACTTTCCTGCTTTCCAATGAAGTCTGAACA